TTAACGTTTCGCAGGACAGAACCCTCGCTCGAAAGACTCTCGGCTAGAAGACACCGTAAGTGCGGAGAAAAGTACTCCCCTCCCCAAACCTCTGACTATACTGGAAAGATTGTGGCGTATAACTGCCTTGCTACAGCGGGGAAATTGTCCAGTCTTTTGGTCAGAGAGTGGGCTATCCACGAGGGTCAATAAAAAGTAATGGACTTTGTGAAATATCTCAAAATGCTATGGACTTGAAACTTCCAGACCCTGGAAACATTCTCCGCAATTTTGTATGCTAGATTTAATCCTAAACAGCCACTTTTGGTGGGCACAGTGCTAGTCAGCTTCCCGTATGCTTCGCAGCTCTGAATTGACAGCTCTTCCTCGGTCCGGAATGCGTTCAAACTTTGGTCAGGCAAACTTCACTTTCAGATAAGGGAATAACCAGAGTGGGAGTGGAACAGAACACTTTCTAGTTCATTGTTCTTGTCTTGAATTTTTGTTTTTCGAACTGTACGCTGGATGAGGCAAAACCTGGGTTCTTTATTCTTTTAAGCACAAAGTTGTGACACTTGCTTTATAAGGAAAAACATTGTTGTGGATGAGTATTACGTGAGAGGGGCTAGTCTTTAGTCTCTGCTCATCAAAGACATTTTTCAGCTTTTGAACAAAGTGAGAAGTTATAGCAGTATTATTTGGAATGACACCAACCACAAGGAGACCATTGTACTTGAAAAAGACAGCCAAAACCTCTTTCTGATTTGAATTTTAGAACACAAAACAACAGGACTGAGTTAAGCGTTTTGATACCCCTAGAGCCCAAATCACCCTTTGTTTTTGACGCCTTGAAATTGAAATATCAAAAGTTATTTCGAGAGTAAACATGTCATAGAATAATCACGTGTAATGCTTTTATGACTGAGGTTAATATTTCAGCCGCTTGATGGCAACTTCCATAATAATTATATACTTTAAAAAAAATCTACATTCGAATATCTCCGGTTCCTCAGAGCACAGTTCACATACAAGTATCCACCTGTCGTGGGGTTAGCGATACCCCCTTCACCAAAGTAGAGGGCTAACCTTCACCTCTCTATTTTATACGTAAAATGTTTTAAGGAAACTAATTACCTACCTATGTGACTTGCGGCCTGTTGACATATCCGTTAGGGCGCCATCGCTGTCGTAGGCACCCCTGTAGGAGGAGCCTAGATTGTTCTGCTGGTTGTAGTTGTTTGAAGGGTCTTGGTTGAAGGCGTTGATGATCTGAAAAAGTCACGTGAATGCTGTTATAGTATGTATCAATCTCTGTTTTCTGTTTATGTCTCTTTCTCTGTCTTTTTAAAAGTCTTTACTGTTAACGAAAATCAAGTTTTTTTCTTTTTCCAGAGCGGAAGTGTGTCTAAGAAGTTAACACATTCCTCCAACTTTTACAAAATATTATTTATCAGGACCTAAGAATTCCTGCACCATACGTAATTTGTAAAAGAAAAAAAAAGTTTTGACTCCTCTTCCTCCTTTCCTACTCAGGTCCGAAGAGAAAGTAATTTAAAGCTCAATCTGATCCTTTTTCTATCACTTTAAGATGGTATTTATTGCACAGAAAGATATGACCGTCATAATGTTGCTCCGCTATTGATTCAGTAAAACTATTGTTGACTCAGCAAAACTTAATAAACTATAAATACGACGAATACATACACTAAATCATGATTGTTTCTTTCAGCGTTGTGATCAAGCTCAGCGACATATCCCGAATGTCATAGAGAACTGCCTTTTCAGCTGAGAGTTTTTGCCAATCAGAGAGTCCATCATACCCAGTGTATAGGATTGTCCACCCCTTTCCCCATGCCCCCCCCCAACCCCCCCAAAAAGGAGAAAAGGTCGGCCTCGTACACATCGTTAGAAACGTTCGTGTGTACTTAAGACTGACATAGGCGTGGCAAAGGCTATATTCAGAATGATACAGCTGCACTAACGAGCTACATCGTCTTTGGGAGCACCTTTCACCTGAGCGTCCCTTACTGCTTTATCTAAAGACGTGGGACATCATCTAAAGGTCATGTCTACACTGACATACGTCATTAGTTCTAGTTCGAATCCTATCTGGTTGCCTGCGATGGAGGCCGAAGAAGAATCTGGGTCATGGGGGCATTACGTGCTTGAAGCGAGGATGCCATTGTAATATTATAATGAGGCGAATATTCTGGTCAGACACACAACTGACTAACATGACAAAATAGCTTTGTCATCTTAGAGAGACACTAAACTTGAACCCGTCACCAACAATGAAGTCTGGGATGCTTTACACAGTTTCCACATTGGAGACGTTTATTATCTTGAGTATCTCTGCCCAGTCAGCCTGCGTTTGTCCTGCGAGGTAAGGGAAGCAAGGATGGTGGGGTTGAAACAGCCTGCTCTTGAAAGATCTAGATTGTGTTGATTGGGTCTCGTAACATTCATAATCACCACCACTAGAGGATATCAATATCAGTCGATATAAAAGTTTAATGGGACCCTCTCGAGTCTTGTCTCTCTGTAAGACTGGTCCATAAGGAGGATCTCGATCCAGGGGCTCATCATACAAAAACTACGTACACTTTTTGCTTTGCACTGCAATGGTATTAATTTAAAGTTGAGAAGATCCAACAAGATCTGGGGATGTTAACCCATTGCTGGCTTTACTTGTCCTACTAACGAAGTCTTAGTATTAAACCGTAGATCAAACAGCCCTAGACGTTGAGTCATGTTGCAAATATTTTGAATGGTTTCTCTCCCCTCTCCCCCTCTGGTCGACACTCCTTACATTGTAATAATTTAGGAAGTGGCTTCGGGTCCGTCTGTCCGAGCGACACATACAATGTGAGGAACTTTCCAGACGCAAAAGAAAAATACGGAAAAATAGTTTAAAATTACACAAATGCTGGTCCGAGTGCCTTGTTGTGTTTTAATCAAAAGGGGGTTGTATTTCCTTTTCAAGTAGAGATAGCGAAATCTAATGGGTGACTAATAATTAGTCTAAAGAGATGAAACAGGTGACAGCTGATAGAAGCATAGGGAGTTGTGATTCTTGGCTTACGCGTCATGTGCGACCGGGGTTGGGG